AGGCTGGTATGTGGTGAACAGCGACTCGGAAATGTTTCAGTGTTGTGTGACTGTTGGGGTGGAATGCCATGATGTTATCTGTTTCCACTTCAGATTTCTAAGGAATGAAGTGCAAATACTGTTTCATAACTTATGCTTGAGAGAAGTGTTGAGGATATGGCGTATACAGGAGGAGTTTATATGGGAGCAGCTAGTGGTGTTTTCTTGAAAATACTGCGGTGGACAAGTAGAGGATTTGCTGTGAAATGGATCGAGTTCTACCCTTTCTAATAGCCCTGTTGGGGAAGTAAATGATTTGTGAGACATGAGGTGGGGTGGTCCGTGAGAGGAGGGAGGACAGAGTCTGATACTGTGGGTTAGGTTTTCTTTGGAATCTAGCACTCTCTGCAGTGTGTATCCACAAGCTTTCAGCTCCTATTTACTGCTGTGTCTGGGTGGACATGCATCGGACAGATTGACCGCAAGATCTGAAAACAAGCACCACAAATTCATGTCCAAATTTGGATCTTAAGCAGCACTAACCAAAGGACAAGTGATATACTAGTGTCAGCAGTATACTGCACACCAGCATGCACATATTGTGGTGCTGAGAAGCCTTTCTGATGCTTTTTCTTTTAAAGAAAAGTTATTTACATAGATACATAATATTTGAAAATAGCAAGACTTCAAATGTACAGGCTGCAATTTTGTTAGAGTGTGTCTGTTACCGTGGTGTGAAAGTCCCATCCCTCTAGTGCTGCCCTTGGCTTCAGCATGGGGCTTGGGAAGGTGCGCTGAGTCTCTCTCTTATGTATTAGCAGTTTCATTCCTCTGTTAGGAAAAGTAAAAACTGTTTACCCGAGTGACTTAACGCCTAGCGGAAGGTGCTCTGTTTGTGACTCGGTTCTCGGCTGAGTGCCGTACACCTGCGGTGGGGTGCCAGGATGCTGGCACCGAGCGCTGACCCGCTGTTCCTGGAAGGCGAAGCCTCCAGCAGCGAGCCCGAGTGCAGACTGGTTCGGAGCTGTGGCCATATGGAAGCAAGGGGGTTCGGAGGACTCCAGAAGTGGGAGATGAGCCTAAGCTGTCCTTCAGCTATAGCCTGTATTTGTCAAGCGGCAGGTACGTTTCTGACGCGTGTCTCAGTAGTAGGTGTGGTGCCAGCTCTGTAGGGCTGTCCTTACTGCATACCTGTGCTGTAAAGGGGTCTGATGGAGTAACACTGGAGAAGTAATTGAGCAGAGTATTCAGAAGGGGCCTGGCTGGCCAAGGCCAAACTCTGCAGAGAGACAGTGGAGACAGTCCCCTTGCTCCTTGTTGAAAATCCTCTTTGCAATCAATTTTTAGGGAAATAAACACACCATTCATTTTGACACAGCGACTGTTATAAAACATTTGGAAGAGATGTGCTCACAAAATAGTCTTGTCTTCTCTGGGTGAATCACAGAATGCTTTGGGTTGGAAGGGACCTTTAGAGGTCATCTAGCCCAACCCCCCTGCAATGAGCAGGAACATCTCCAACTCGATCAGGTTGCTCAGAGCCCCATCCAGCCTGGCCTGGAATGCTTCCAGGGATGGGGCCTCCACTACCTCTCTGGGCAACCTGTGCCAGTGTTTCACTACCCTCATTGTAAAAAATTTCTACCTTGTATATAGTCTAAATCTACCTCCCTTAGTTTAAAGCCATTTACTCTTTGTCCTGTCACAACAGGCCTTGCTAAAAAGATTGTCCCCATCTTTCCCATAAGCCCCCTTTAAGTACTGGAGGGCCGCAAGGGGGTCTTCCTGCAGCCTTCTCTTCCCCAGGCTGAACAGCCTCAACTCTCTCAGCCTGTCCTCATAGGAAGGGTGTTCCAGCCCTCAGATCATTTTTGTCACCCTAATCTTGGTTTTGTTTGGCTTGCTTGCGTGTTTAACAGTGGCCGTTCATCATTTCTTCTTCTTGACAATGTCAAACATTCGTTACACTTAAGACTGTGTCAACACACAACCAATATTTCCTGTCTTTCTTAACCATCGAACATCACCCTACTTGTCTTTGGAAGGATTAAGAACTATATAAAGGACATGTCTAGAGATTTTAGTCCTTCATCAGTGCAAGTACTGGCAAGTGGGAGGGCAGTAAACGTAAGGTGACTTACATAAGAATTGACAGAAACTTTTGGAAGTGTACAGTGGACAGAATTGCAAACTTTATTGCAGAGTACTGACTAACAAATCCCTAAATGAGTGGGTCTGTACCAAAATGCTGTAAAAAAAATAAAAAAAAAGGAAGTACACCATGTATTATGGGATTTAGCATTCAGAAAGGCAAACCGAGCTATAAAATGGGAAGCAATGTCCCCTGGAAAATGCAGGGGAGGCATCAGAGATGGTTTTCTGTAGGAAACTAAAGGCTTGTGTGTGACCCTCTATGCTGTAAATTATCCAGAACTCTTAAGCAGCAGGACTAGGCAGAAATAAACTCTGCTAGGTCAAAGCAGCGTTAGAACATGAATGTTCTTGTCTTGACGTTTAAATGGTCGGATTAGTCATCTATTGTATGTCTTGTTTTTCCACAGAAGTAATTGATAAAAGTCAAGGCTTAGCGTTTTCAGCGCTGGGAGATCAGAGTACAAGATGAGTCAGTAAGAAGTGCCTAGCAACTAGGACTGGAGGGGCTTGATTGCATGGGGAGCAATCAGCGATGGGTGGCGTTAGCAGTGTGATAGAGTAAAATAAAGGCAAGCCAGGAAGGATCCAGGCTTTCTGTAGAACATTCTGGTGATTTGTAGCTGTCATTTAGCCTAGAAGTTTACAGCATAAGAGAAGTTTTGTGAATTTCTTTTTTCCAACATGCTTTTTAGTATATATACTTACGGCTTTTGACACTGTTTTCTCAGTAGTCTTGTAGCACAGCAAAATTACCATAAATTCTGTTCTACTGTGTGAGAGAGTATTGCAGCAGTTTTTAAGATCTCGGGTGAGTCTGGAAAAGGTGCTTTAGTTGGCAGATACAGTTAGCGATTGGGCCTCACCTCTTCATCTAGGTGGACGATTTTCTTGATCATTGCATTATCAAATGCTTCGTGTACAGAAGTAACATGAAAGACATAATTTATTATTATTCATATAATACCAGAGCCTATTATTCATGCTTTACCACAGCCTGAAAACTCTAACTTAGAGACAGTTCTTGACTTAAAGAAGAAGCAGGTTATCCCAAATCTTAGGGGACAGACAGAATAAAATAAATAGCATTATAAGATTGGTGTATATTCAACTGAGGACACCATTTATCCACAGTCTAGTATTACTTCTAGACCACAACAGTCTCATTTTATTTCCAAAACTTCAAAGGACATTTACACAAGCTCAGATACTTTCCAGTCAAAAAACATTGCATGTACTTTATTCTTCATTAATGGCACTGGGGAAAAAGCCACTAATTCAATTGCTTGGTTTCAGTTTCTCTGACTCAGGCATTTTTAGTCAGTGGGATTTAAAATTGATTATTTTATTGCTGGTAACTGGGCCACTTCCTTACTTTCTGTTACCCTTGATTGTAACTAAGGGAATTATTTCATTTTTGCCATTACAGACATACCACCTTTGGCACAGGGCTAATGGATATCTTGGGTGTGCTTCCTAGAGCAGCCCGACGCACAGAGGAACGCCCAACACAGTGTTCTGCAGAATGTGTTGTATTTCTCCTACCTATTTCATCACATAAGAAAAGTCTTGTTTGTTTTGTGTATAGCACAGGCTCCTGAGTTCTTGCAGAGTGTATGTGGAAAGGGATTTCTCTTGCAAGGTGGTGTCTTCTGCAACATTTCTGAGTCTTGTGCTGCACTGGTTATGTAGCACTTCCAAAGACGGTGAGAAAAGGTGGTTTCACCCTCAGATTACTCAAGTGCAAACCCCACTGCTGCTTAAATAGGAGAGCTGTGTGCTGTTCTGGTTAGGAGCATCCGAAACTGTGAAAAGTGAAATCTGTGGTGAAGACAAGATCAATGTTTGGAAGAATGAAAGACCGTACTACCTAGAAATAGTTTTCAGGGACAAGTTTCCTTCATTCACCCATCCATTATTTATGTGTAGTGGTATGGTGAACTTCTGCTAACCTCTAGTCATTGTGCTTTAATATAGTATATGGATAAATCATATATATAAAATGATGGTAGCTATATATAATGTATGTATAAACCCAGTAAGATGTTAAACATAATACAGAAATATAGAAAAAGCTGGGAATGCGAGACCATCCTATTCAGTTTGAGTTAGAAATCCTCATTCTGAGCAGCTGGCTTGTCGGCAGGAAGTGAATTTTCTAACTCCCTATTTGAAATCGCTGTTTTCTGGGGAACAGTTGGGCAATCCCACGTTTTGTCAGGAATCCCACCAAAACAAGGCTTCTTCCCCGCAGTGGCAAACTACAGTATTTGGGAAACTTGGAGTTACTTATTGATTGTAATTATTTTTATAGAACCTACCAAAAACACTAAGTACATGGAGGATCTGATTTTGATCTCACACATAGATCAGAAATAATTGTTTAAAGAAATATTTTAGTACTGAAGCTACTCCAGTATAGAGCTGGTATAGCTGGTAAGGAAGTAAGGTTGTCTTGATTCAAACTGAATAAAATGAGATAGTAATTTAGCTCTTTATTAATAGATACCATTGTGAATCCATATCCTTGTTTCTTCAAGGAAAGATTTTAAATCATATATGTTTTGAATGAGATTAAAAGCAAAACAATGATCTAAAAGGGATGGCAGTGTCTCATATTGACAGGTACCTATCTCTCTATAGATACAGCAGACAACAAAAAAATGATTCTTAGATAAACATTGTAAAATAGTGTTCTAATTTTAACAGTGATTATCCTGAAGTTACTTAAAGTTTTCAGATTCTTTGGGGAAAACAGCCAGAAAGTGACTAATTACAGTACCCTGTTACATATTGCTGATTTTCTTGAGATCTGCATGCCTTTTTTTCTTTCTTTTCCATAATTAAAATGCAGTTGATGATTTCCACAGCTACAGTCTTTCTAGAGTTTTGGAAAAGACGGAGAGCTGTATTAACCTACGACTGGGACCTCATAGACTGGGAAGATGAAGAGGTAAGGCTAAAAGAAGTAAAGCTATAAATCTTGCCATCTGCATGATTTAACTGTAAATACCAATACAGACTGCATGCCAGTAGACTGAATTTGTCGTTCCGATGATATTTGTATTTATAACACTAATTGCAGAATAAACAAGTATACCTGAGACTATACAAGGACGCTTTGCCTTCTGCAATTATCATTATAATTCCAAATATAATTCTACATTTATTAAAAGTATCCTTTGAAAAATTGAGTGGAAATATTGCCTATGCAGAGGACAGGAGCCACTACTGATGTCAGCACACGTGCCTTTTGTTTCTATGGTGTCTTGCACTGGAAATTCCTAATCCTGCCTGAGAATGGGACCAAGACAAGTGAAGGGACAGAAGCTAGATTTTATATCCTTCTAAGAGGTGTAACTTATTCTTTAACACTCTGCTAGCAGCATTGACAATAATCAAATGATTTTATTACTTCATAAATCACTAGTGAACATAGCTGTAATTTAACTATATTGGTGATTAAGCTGCAGTCTAAGTCAGTAGAGATTTTACCATTACTTGTTTTATAGCTTTTCATAGATGCGTAGACACAAGCTGGTGGCTTTTAATAAATGGTTTCATATCACAAAAAGCACAATCATAACTGGCATTGATTTATAGTTCCCTTATCAATTTCTGCAGAGAAACTAGTGTTGAAGTCAGTGTTATGACCCATGATCCTTTCAATACCCTCACATGGTAGGGAAGGCTCTTGCGGTTTCTGTTCTTTATTGGTCTCTGGCACTGTTTCCAAAGATTTTCAAAGAGCAAATTATTTGGATATTTGAGTTGGAGCATTATAAAACAGAATTTGTGTCAATATAAATTTCCTACTTTATAGCACATATATATATGATTTTTGATACTTCAGTGAAATTAGTAGTACAACAAATGGAGTCTACTCTGTCATTCCAGGAAGAGCTGCGCCCTCAGTTTGAAGCTAAATATTCCCAAGTGGAAAGAGTAAATCCCATCACGGGAAAACCTGAACCTTTTCAGCCTTTTCCTGATAAGCTCAGTCGACTGATGGTGTCTGTCTCGGGAATATTTTTCATGGTAATGCTTAAAAATATTGGAATTATTGTAGCCTTTAATCTTACTCTGGTGTAAATAGTAAGGCAAGTCATGAGTGTGTTGATTAAGATTAGTGGATTTGCGTAATATAGGCAAAACTGTCTCAGTCTTACTGCTTTTTTATGGATCTCTTTTAAAAAATTCAATGTAGTTAAATTGTAAAAGAACAATAATGTTTTAATTCAGCAATCTAGCATTTTGGTTCTCTCAAAGTCAGCTCACCAGAACAAAAGGCAATCTTTAAAACACTTGTTAATTTATTAGTTCAGTGGAAATTATTTCAGTTATGGTTTATTTTGTTCTAATATCTCTATTCATAAACACTTACCTATAGATTTCACTGGTCCTCACCGCAGTGTTTGCAGTTGTGGTGTATCGCCTGGTGGCCATGGAGCAGTTTGCTTCTTTCAAGTGGTATTTCATCAAGAAGTATTGGCAGTTTGCAACATCTGGCACTGGAGTTTGTATCAATTTCATGATCATCATGTCACTCAATGTTGTAAGTCCTTTAAAAGGAGGGATTAATTTTTAAAAGTAATTTTTACGAAGTTACTGAGTTTACTGTGTATCAGATATATACACGTCCTTGTTTATCGTATAGCAGTGCCTGAAGCTAGTATTTCAGGGGTTCTTTCCTCTTCTAGTACTATGTTTGTCAGTGTTTTTCACGACTGGCTACTTAATTTGTCACTACACATCTTTGCTTAGGTCACCAAGTCACAGTGGTACAGACTACTGCTTTCTACATTTGCACTTTTGATTTCTACGTTACCTTTTACAATACATCTCTTCTCTAAATGGGACTACATTGTTTTCCTGGCCGAGAATTTTCTCTCTGTTTTTTTGATTGATAACTTTGAATTCTTCCATTTCTTATTTAAAATGCGTCTGTGATATCAGTGTTGCACAGTTCTGTAATCACTGTGATACATGGTTTCAGTTTAAGCTTTTCCTGTCATGTAACAGCACAGATTTAATCATTTGCTGTGGTAGCACAGTGTACGTTGATATAAACTCTATTCCTTCAACTGCAATATCATTCTTCTATTTCCATGCAGGCACAAACAGGTAAAAAGGAATACTAACAGGGCAAACAATGGCATTTAATCCTGTTAAGGAGATTGTGCCTTCACTCCAATAAGAAGTCATTGTTCAAAACACACTGTCAAGTATTTATTTCTGTTATTATGTATAATAATTCTAAGTCATAAAAAGTACATTCAAGTGAATAGTCACATCAAAAGTATTGAAAATAACTTGCTATTAATACTAGACACTCAAGGAAATACTTTTTCAGAATAGGTAACTACCTTGGGCCAAATTTCATTTAAAATGAAGACTGGAGATAATCAACAGATTGACAGATAAGGAGATTTTCAGTAGAAGGCGGATACCCTCACCAGTATGTACATTCATGCAAAGGAAAATTGTGTTGTCTAAAGGCTTTTGCCTACTTTTAGATCACATTCCTGAAGTTAGAGGATAAGCATCTAACTGCTTATGAAAAGAATCGTTGATGTCTGAGCACTTCTCTTCACCTGTTGGCTCTTGATTTGTCTTTATTGTATATTTAGTGTACATATATACATGGATAAAAAGAACAGGATGAAAGTTATTTCGATGAAGCCTTTATAGAAACTATACATCCACATGCGGCTAGGACATCATCCTTCCTTCTCTGTCCAGATACCATGGTGCTGTAGGGCAAGAGAACACATATGCTTTTGATGCTTGTTTTCATTCTAGGTTTGACATCACAACAGACAGAATTTGCTATACTTACACCATCTCTTATTTCTGTTTTAGGTATATGAAAAGGTTGCCTATCTCCTCACTGACCTAGGTACGTAGGTCTTTACTAATGGTGTGGTTCTTCCTGGCTGTGATATACACCTTTATATTTCCATCAAATAGGGTTTTAAAAACTTAATCTAGCCATAGTATGATACTGGCATTTCCCTAAGCAAGTGAGAAATATCACAGAAAGAAATTATATGATTATTTCAATAGGGAAGTAATAGAAAATAAAATAATTTATTCTTCTACTCACTTTTAATGTTCTATAGTATAAATTGAAAAAACTGTCATGTTATAATGAAACAAAAGTCAAATCCTATTGTTTCTTAGAATGCTAGAAGATGTATTTTTTTCCATTATTCCCGAATGCTTTGTTATTTTTTTTACAATTTTTTAATCTGAACTTTTTTATGGAAAAAATGAGTTAAGATAAAATTACATTGTCCAAGATAAAAATGTTAAGGCACAAGATTTAAAGTAGCTCTAACTCTGTCACATTAGAGATTTGTACCGAAGCCTCTATTCGTGATTCGGTCATAGAAGTAGAGCTTTTTAGCCTGTAGAAAACAAGAAAGCAAAGGCAGCATTTAAGATCTCCTACTACGTGAATATATTATCTTTTAGTGTTTCTTCTTACGTGCTATCTTTTAGCCCACATCAAAACATGCAGTTGATCCTGTCATGGTTTAAAAGCAAGCTTGCTGCTTAAATTTAACAGCACCCTCTTCTGGTTAAAGTGTTGAAGAGCATGCATGAAACAAGTTGCTCAAAACTTAATAGTGTTTCAGGCAACATGCAGTTGAACAGGTTAGAAAGATTCAGAATGTATAGTCATCTTATTCAAATTATTAAAATATTTTAAAATACTTTTTCAGATCACAATGAGTATGTATTCCTGTTTAACTTTTTAAGTACATTATATTGTTACAGACCCAGGAATGGGAAAAAAAAATTATTGAAGTATACAAATTGATTTTTCCCCAAATATATGAAAGAATTGAGAAAAAGCTCACTCCTCTTCCTAAGGTCTTTTACGTCAGAGGAAGAGGACATTTTAACTTCTGAGGAACAAATATCCATATGTAAAGCTAGTATCCTGTACATTTGTATCCTCATTTAGTCATGATTAGGCCAAAGTAATTAAGTAGTACAAATTTTAACTGAAAAATTCAGGCCGTTTAGACTTCCAACTCATATATGTGTGTTAATACTTTTATCAATGTACTATATTCCAAGTTTGATACATCCATCAAAGAAATTAAAATTATTACAAGAAAAAAAATAATTAATCATTATCATTGAGTTCTAATTCAGACATAAATCATGTTCTACAAACCGTAAGGCAAACAATCCAAGGCAGTGCAGACTCACACAGAATACTTGTAGCCCTACTACACATTTCTATGTTTCTTTAAAAAAAAAAAAAACCAAAGAAGGATCTCCTTCGTTCTTCCTTCGTCCCTCATTGCATTGTAAACTGTTTAACACTTCACAAGTGTTATGATAGGGAAGTCCCGGGGATGAAGTAATGGTTGTAAGGAAGCGTTTAGAAGGTGAGATGCTTGGGCGAGAAACCCAGCTGGCTGTTGGTTGTCTCTTTTCCCTCTGCTTTCCTCAACAGCCCCTGTCTATTGCTCTGCTGATGCAAAGTGCTTTTGCTTTTTGTTTGGAGTTTTTTTTGCTGTGGGGTTTTTTGTTGTTTTTTTTTTTATATCAAGATACTTGTAGCCTTAAAATTACAGATTCACACTGAATTCAGAACTCTTTCATGGAAATGGAATGGTTATCCTCCCATGGAGTTGTGACCTGTTCTGTTCTGAGGGGCTTGTATCTCTGTTGCTACACAGAACCAACGTAGTCTGAGCTGGGGCCATGGGTTTGTGACCTGCAGACTGAATGCTTCGAGGGAAAAAAAAATTGCAACTTGATCGGGCACCACAACTTGAAACCATCGCTTCTTTTGTCAGCATTGATTCAGCTGTGAGCAAAGTTAGGCATAACTGGGTTTTGTTTCTGATTATATAATGTATATTGTGTCTTTCCGCAGAGCACCCTAGAACAGAATCAGAATGGGAAAACAGCTTTGCCTTGAAAATGTTCCTCTTCCAGTTTGTCAACTTGAATAGCTCCATCTTTTACATTGCCTTTTTTCTTGGCAGGTAAGTTGTCTTTGCTAACTGCTCTTAGAGGAAAACTTGATGGAAGTCGTAATCTTTGCTAATTTTATAGGTATGAAGAAAATACACTGACTGAACTGTAAGATTTAGATGCAATTCAGTTTCTGAGGATAATTAATAACACTAAATTCATATTTTTAACTGTATGTGAGGGTTGGACCCTTGCAATCTTTACTCATTAAACTATGCAGTAAAAAGTCGTGTTTTTAAAGTGGGTCTATGTACGTGACTTTCCTACTAAAGGAGAATTCAGAACCTTTGAAAATAGAGCCACTTCCTAAACGTGGGTCGGTATTTAGCCCTGCGATAATAGGCTTTATTCATTTTTTCTTGTTTATTCCCCTTTGGTTACATTTCCCAGGATCCATTTCTATAAATAGTAAATATTGTCTGGCAAGTCTTATACAAGAGTAGGAAGCAGAAACGCTGGCTTCAATTGTTGTGTGTATCTTTAGCTCAGGGCATGAGATACTGGGCAGGTCTAACCTTGCCTCATCTTCACTTCAGTTTCATTATGATCAGACTTCTCATTCCTGCAGAACCTACAGAGTACTTCAGAGTACCTTCTGTAAAGTTTTATAATATAATTGCAGTTCAAGATTGTTTGGAAAAAAAAAACCACCAGAGGTCTATTAAAGACTGTTGGTAGTGTCTGCTTGTTACATGCTTGGATGCATTTGCCGTACAGCTGCTAGTCTTATCTCCTGTGTCTAGTAGGATCAGGCATGGGGTTTTTTCTCTCTCATTTATAACTTCCACTGAGGTCATTAAGAATTTTGATTCAGTTTGTTGTACAAGAATCTGTTAGGTCTGTTATGATGGCTTTGGAAGTGACTTTATGCTTGTATGTCTGAGGGTGCAATCCAGTGCACGCTTCACATGGGCAAGCAGATCCCTGTGCTGCAGTAAATTCCTACGTATTGCAATGGTTTATCTTCTTGGAAGTAGATTAGAAAGTCTGAATATCTAACATCTAAAATGACTGAAGCTAGGATTTCTGCTCTGGACATAATAAAGGCTTAGGATTGCTTGCAAAATGATGGTCCTTGTTTGCATTCTGAAACTACCATATCCTACAGATACCAGATTTAAGCCTGTGTGATTTAATCTGTTTATATTTCGTGAGTTTGCTCAGTGGGTGTTGTGAAATAACTACTGATACAGGATGTTCTTGGAATGTCCACTGAGAAACAGAAATCTTGTTTTCCAGATTTGCAGGCCGCCCAGGAAAATACAACAAGCTTTTTAACAGATGGAGACTGGAAGAGGTAAGCAATCCTATTTTGTGTTCCTGTGAAATTTCCATGAGTAAAAAGGAAATGGCTGAAGGACATGAATGAAGTCCAGTTTAAAAGATTTATTATTCCATCGAAGTGCAGTGAAGAGTAAACTCTTATTTATAGCAAAGGATAGGAAACGGGAGACGTGTTTTTCCTTCTGCGTTCTCCACTGTGCTGAGTGACTCTGCGTGAGACAGGCAGTTCTTTCGGCCTCTCTCTTTGGGGAGAGCAAACAGTCCCTTTCCTCACAGGCACTACTAAGCCCTACATGAATGGAATCTCCTGGGTATGTGGAATTTTTGGGTGGAGGACAGAAGTATACTGCCATCACCTTTTTTATCAGCTTCTTATGTTTCTGCCAGTGTGAAAATACTAATTTAAAAAAAGAAAAATAGTATTTTTTAAATTGAGGTTGAAAGTGTGTTAGAATTGAACCTCCCTTGATACCACTAGCGTGCTGAATTTACCTCATATCTCTGAAAACCAGATTTCTTCTGTTGAACCTTCGTAGTAGCTATGGAGTAAAATACCATAACTTTGTACTCCATGGTCTAAAAAAATACGATCTTGTTCTCCAAGAATTAATATGTCTAAACGATGTTCAGCTAAAGCCTATGTTAATATTTCTGTTATTAATATTTCTTTTAATATTTCTGTAGCTAGAGTTTAGTGTTTTTCACCAAACATATTTGAGTATTTTCCATTCTTCCGGTGAGCAAATAAAAATGGAAGGAATTCTCTGATTTTAGGTACTGATCCTTTTCCATTTCGTTTCAGTGTCATCCGAGTGGCTGCTTGATAGATCTGTGTTTGCAAATGGGGGTTATTATGGTTTTGAAACAAATGTGGAACAACTTCATGGAGCTAGGCTATCCGTAAGTTCAAATATTAAAATTTATTTTACAACAGTGATCACATATTAGTGTGACTTAGTGATAGGGAAAAATATTTTCTCATTGGAATGGAGGGCAGAATTTTGTCATTAATTGTAATTCATTCTCATCTTTAATTGAGGAAGACAATGAACAGCTGAAATACTGGTCTCTGGAAGTGTGTGTTCATAAGCACATAAAATGGGATTCTTCAGCAGGTTCAAGTTTACATCTCTTATGTCATCACTCAAAACCTAATCATCAGTGTTGATTTTCAACCTTCCCTGCAGGGTGAGGAGGACGTGCTACTAGTGCTTACACAAGGCTTGGGTTCAGTGTCTAGGCTAAGTTCGACGTGTAGGCTCTGAGGCCCAAAAATACAGTTGTTAAATACATAACTGGATACTGGTCAAGTAAATAACTACATTCTTCCCCTACGTGCTGTAAGAAGCATAGAGTATAAATAGTCCACTTTTGCCAAAATAATTATTTCAAGTACATGTTTGCAGAATGCTTCCACTTTTGCATCTCGCATACAGTGAATTTATTCCCAAGGGAAGCATTAACTGCTGCTCTAAGATAAAGCACCTCAGGGCATGTTAACCATCTAAATTGTTTATTGTGATTTCATTTTCCATAATACAAACAGAGCTGTTCAGCTGCTGCAGAGAGTAATGGGCTAAGAGTCTTACAGCACTCTTGAAACTGGAAGATTATGTTTTCGGTAAAAGCAAAGGGTTGCTCATCAAATATTAACTTAATCAAAGTCTCAGCCTTGAAAAGAAGTCAGACAGGGTTAGGCTCACGATGTGCAATCATTCTGCAAATGAGAGGCAATGCGCTGCATTGCCGTGAGACGTGAATTTCTGAAAAGAAGAATCCTACGTGAACTGTCAGGCTTTCTGCCTTCTCAGCCCAGCAGCATCTTAACTGTCCCTAGAATTTATTCTGGAACGTGTTTCTAGTCCTTTGTCGAAAGCAGTGTTTTGTTCTCACAAAACCATTGTTTGCAACACAGGCCCTTCAGTAACAAGAGAAATCAAGAGCTAAACACTAAATTAGCTTGAGAAAAAAGAGCAGCCTGTTCATAGAAGTATTTATACGAAAATTATTTCCAATCTTCAGTGTCTTTTCAGTAATATCTAGAAACAAATAATAGCCTTTAATTGCCACCTGTGTCAGTACTGGTTGATATATTTCTTTTGTAGAACACTAATTTGTGAGACTATTACCTAGTTAACTACTTTGTGAAAGGACCTCTTAACACCTTTATAAAAAATAAAATTTGCAGCTTCAGCAACACCTCTTTAGACACTTTTTTGTGCTTCAAGAAAAAAATATTCTGTAGACCATCTACATCGTTAGGTTTGTTCAAAGAACAGTTGGCATGTTCTACTATTCAGTATATTCTAGTGTCAGAGTTCTTTCTGAGCCCCATTTACTTAATTTCTCTTTGATAGGATTAAAAATAAAGTATTATTTACTTTTTTTAATTCTGTCATTATGCATGATTTTTTTCCTGTTATTTTTTTTATTTAGGCATGCAGGTAAATCCTACCCAAAAAGGCTATGCAAGCAAATTCCGTATTCTGAAAAGCTTATTTGTACAATGCCTGACATGCTACGCTAAAACATAGTTAGAGTCATAATGCAGAACTGAGAACTTCTGCATGTTCTTTGAGTTGTATTTTATATGATACTGTAAATATTTCCAGAAAATACCTAAGTAAACATTCAGGTGCTATTCAAAATAGGCCCGCTGACTTCAAAACAATACCAGCAAGTATTGTAAATGATGGAGCAAATACAGTCAATAATGGTCTGTTTATCTAATAAAGTTTATTACAGAATTGGTGGTCACGACGCAAAATGAAGAGAGGAGGGCAGTTAATGGAGCATAAAATTTCTCTACCTCAGTGGGAGAAAGATTGGAATCTGCAGCCTATGAATCTCCACGGTTTGATGGACGAATACTTAGAGATGGGTGAGCAGATTTAAGGAGACGTCAGTTTTCTTAAGAAACTGGAACTATGTTTCACGTTAAAAGATCTTTTGCATTCCCGATTTCTAACCATTGAAATGCCTGTCTAGTTTTACAGTTTGGCTTTACCACCATCTTCGTTGCTGCCTTCCCACTGGCACCTCTCCTGGCATTGCTTAACAATATCATAGAAATAAGGTTAGATGCATACAAGTTTGTCACTCAGTGGCGAAGACCCATGCCTGCAAGAGCAACGGATATAGGTGAGAGAACCTAATGCCTGTCACTGTCAGGTACCATCTCTTTGTGTTTCCTTCTTTAATGCAGCTTAACCTTTGAAATACTTCATGCGTCAAGAGTGGAATAGGTAATGTAACCTACACATCTCAGTGGCAACTCTCCTGTTAGGCAACAAAAACATACTCAGTTGCATAGCTAACAGGACTCCTCAAATTTGCTTCCCACTTCCAGTGAGGGATCATAATAGTTGGAATTTTAGAAACAGACTAAATAGCATTTTAGGCTTCTGATTTGTGGAACTCTAGGTCTAAAATGCTATCCAAAATCAATTGTATTTAAAAATGAAATATAAGGACTAAATTCACTTTTGGTTTAAAACCAAATTAAAAATAAGCAAGATATCTCTTTCCAAAATCTTCTCTTTGGCCTTTATAACTGAAGATTATGGTTATACCTTTGTTGCTTAGCCATTTCTTCTCAGCAGGGTGTGCCCTACTGTAAGACTTCATTCAGGTGGAGCCAGTGGTGGCAGAAATGTGGGGACATGGCTTAATCTTGACTAGTTTTTCTGACCGAATAATTCTTTCTCAATAAGGAAGGAAAACTACATGACTAATAATTGCTTTAATATCACTGGTATGATTTTTATATGACTTGATATGACTGTGAAAAACTTACGACTTTGTTGTGATTTCCCTTGTTTCTAGGGATCTGGTATGGGATTCTGGAAGGAATTGGTGTTCTGGCTGTCATCACCAATGCCTTTGTTATTGCCATTACTTCCGATTACATTCCGCGTTTTGTCTACGCATACAAATACGGTCCCTGTACAGATCAAGGATACAGACAAGAAAAGTAACTAAGATATTCTTTACATATACGTGTATATTTCAGTGGAAGCACACTTTTGCTACTGTCTTTCTGTGTTAACATATTCAGCATACATCAGTAGCATTTCACCTTTCACATCTGTGCAAACCTTCACAGATGTTAAGTGCGAGTAACTTGGCCATTCCAGCGAGTTTGCAAACTAACTCCGCAGTCATATAGTGGAAAATCATATCTTCCCCTCTGAAGTTCAGTACACAATTTAGCAGTTCAATACACATTGTACTGTTCAATACACGTTGTAGCAGTTTTCAAGCTTTCTCTAGATAAGGTTTTCTTCTTTTCTGCAAGAATTCTGGACTGTCTTCTCCCACCACGCTCTCACACACATATATATGCTCCCGAACCCTTTTTTTATCCTAAGCCTTGTTCACTATCAACCTTCTCCGCCTATTTCTCTTCAGAAATGCTTTCAGCCAAGCTCCAGCAAGATTGGCCTTGGCACTGTTTAGCCTAGCTCCGTATATAGTGTATGTAAGCTTCAAGCAAGATACCTTGCCTATCTCTGCACCACCAGGCTGGTTTCCTGCACTTCTCCAGACACTTACCAGTGTCTCCGCACTGTGAGTCCACCGTGCTCTGTCTGTATTTCCCACTATCTGTCATGACAGATCACTGTACTCATGGGCATCCTCTCTTTCATTTAGAAACCAGTGCCCTGGGGGTGGTTTTGGGGGGTTTTTTGTTTGTTTTGGTTTGTCTTTTTGTTGGTTTTTTTATATGGGAATCAGGGTTATCTCAAGAAAAGGAAGCATTATGTTGCTAATACTATAGCATATCTCACAGGCACAACTCGTCTTCTTTATTGCACGGTGGGAAGGATAAGAGCGAAAGCATCAAAGCTTGTCCAGCACGCCAGTACCGCTGCATTCACGGACCGTGCCTCAGCCCAAACCACAGGGGTCTGCCCTTTGTTCCCTTTTGCTTCATCTCTAATGATTCAAAAATAGAGATTTACTCTGCTGATTCTGTCACAGGAAGAGAGAATTTAAGAGCAAAAAGAATAAGGCAGGATAGGATTAAGAGAGACAATAGCAGAAAAACGTTTAGGCTGAATATGTGCACTGCCCATTTAATGGAGAATGAATTCTATTCCTTCTATTCCAGTAGTGATTTCAGGTGTCACAGCAATCCTGAAGGTTCAGGAGGTATAATAGGATTCCTGACGCACCTCTTTTTAAATGTTCTTTGCCTTTCAGAAGGCCGTTTGTTAAATTACAGAACAGATTTCTAAGAGAATGGGATGTCTTATGTGTCCATGGTTTTCTAGGAACAGACAAAAATTTCACTCCTACAGTTATAACTCAATGTACTTGTGTGATTTCAGTTATGAATACTAATAAATTGTTGCCTTTAAGATGGCTGCTTGATATATACGTACTGTTCATTTTACTGTTGGTGAAAATTCTTCTGTGATTCAGCTCATCATTTTTTGATATATGCCACATGATTTGTGGCAGATTCTTCTTAGATGTTAAAATATTCTCCTCTTTGCCTCTCTAGCCACCTTTCTAAACTCAGTAATTTTAGAAGACAGTAAAGAACACTATAGAAACAATTTTTTGTTTATATCTGCTGATAGATGAGAAGCAAAAACATGAAAAGTACTGAAAATAGATTTTGAAACAGTGTTATTCCTGAAACAGGTTATTTATTTCTTTCCAAGATAACTTTGCTTCGCTGCTTAAAATTTTAGAAGTGCTTTTGTCCTGATAAGCAAATAAAATAGTATGCTCACAATATGTGACAACAGAATATGTTTAAGTACACTATCTGTGCTTTATAACCACTTTATTAAGAAAGTCCTGACCCTATGTCTTTTCCTTTCAGATGCTTAAAAGGATATGTCAACAGCAGTTTATCAGTATTTGATCTGAGTGAGCTTGGGATGGGATACTCAGGATACTGCCGGTATGTTTTGATGCTCTCCCTGCTTGTAACACAGACACAGACGTTAATAGACATTTAATTAAAAGTGAGCGCTTAAATTACTGGCAAAGTAGTTTCTTTTTTAGCCTCTGAAAGCATTGGTGTTCAGGTTTGTTCAGCGTGCAAGTCTCAGGTGCAGACAGTGCGTGGTAGGACACAGTAGTAACACACTGGAAACCTGTGTTGTAAGTTTTCTCAGGACTCTCGCAGGCCGTATCTTTCATGCCATTATGAATTATTTCATTTCAAAGTTTGCCCAGCTGCCAAAAAGGGTAAAAATTCTCATTTCAGTTTAGTTAAGCATTTTGAGGTCTATTAATTAAATATGCAATTAAAATTTTTGTTGTGGCTCTAACCCAGGCCGAGATCCCAAAGAGTTATGCAAGATGAATACAAGAAATTCAGCATAAAAATTAAAAATGACATTGCATGAGTGCACTTCTTCTGGTTTTGGATTTAGTTTTATGGTAGAGAGTTACCTTGAATAGACTAAGAAGTTACAGAATCGTGTTACATTTATGCAGACTTTATCTGGAGAATCTCAAATGCACATAAGCAAAGACAAGAACAATTTAGAGTCAACACACTTGAACTTAACGCTCCAAGGTGTCAGCTTTGTAACAACAAAAGAAATTGTTTGCTGTGGATTTTTGGAAGCAAGAAGTGCCATCTTATAAGCAGCACTATGTAATTGCCTGTATTGTTGACTACTCTTCTCTTTTTCTGTTTAGTTGCTCTTGAAGTATGCTTTCACTTCACTTGCTCTCCTTTTAGCCATATCTGGGATAAGCTGGAGAGTTCTTCACTGTGCTCAGGTTTTTGAGCACTGGATTTCTCTTCGCTTTACAGGTACAGAGATTACAGAGCCCCACCATGGAGTTCAACTCCGTATGAATTCACTTTGCAGTTCTGGCATGTCCTGGCAGCACGGCTGGCCTTCATCATAGTATTTGAGGTTAGTCACGGAAAGGAGCAATTCCTTTCTACCTCTTTAAAGTCAGAGTTACTTTTTACAGTAGTCTCAGAAATAAATTGTCAGTATCATCAACTGCTTGTTCATTACAGTCAAGAGAGAAAGAGAAAAAAAATGACCCTCCCCAAACTGTTGTCAGTCAGTCACTTCAAATTGAATTGACAGAGCATGCACATATTTGAGAGGCCCTCCAAAGTTGTATTTCCTTAACAGTCGTCTTCTAAATCGTGTTGGTTCCCAACGAAATCTTTCAATTTTATTGAAAAAGGAGAAATGCAACTTACGTGTACATTAAGCACAGTTCTTACAAGTTGAAGTGTATGTTGGGAAAATGATACATGATTGTAGCCTAATATAAAAGTAGAAATGCATGTACTAACTTTGAAGAACGTATTGCATGCTGTCCAGGAATCTGGTTGTCTACTTTGGTTACAAGCTCTTCGCAAAGGCTGCTTGTAGGTAGTGCTTGCTATGGTTATTCAAAGTGGCGTATCCTGCAGTCACACCTTAATTTAGGTCACTAGCGATACCCTTAGTTTTACTTCTCAGAAGACTTCAGCGTTTTCACATTTCTGATAGACTGCTCATTTACTCCCGTGTGTGTGTGTGTGTTTAGTAGAAACACAAAGCAGTTGCTTTTCAGTCATAAATTGAATCTCAGTTCCAGTTTTGCCACAGGCTTTTAGGCCCTGAAATGTGGATCTAGAAATGAATATTTATGCATCTTTGAAGCAATTATTTTTGTTCTTCTTTTCAGCACCTTGTTTTTGGAATAAAGTCTTTCATTGCCTACCTGATTCCAGACATGCCCAAAGACTTGTGTGACAGAATGAGGAGAGAGAAATATTTAGTCCAGGAAATGATGTATGAGGCTGAACTGGAGCATTTGCAGAGAGAAAGGAAAAAGAATGGGAAACAGTACCACCATGAATGGCCTTAGTCACTACCATGCTGCAACAGAAACACTGTTTGGAGTTGAAGAGTGCAGTTACAAAATGAAGTCAAGAGTCTGGCATCAGTGCATGAGATTCGTGGTGTGTATACGTTCTTGCTGGGCAGTACAGCTGGCAGGCTTTGGTGGGACCTGGAATATAGATGCTTCCGATGAAGAAAATGAAAAGCCTTACCTGTAACTGGTCTGTGGTGAGCACCAAGGAGAACTGGCACTCAGGAATGTGCAGACGGATTAAAAATTTGGACACTCTGGTTTAAAAAAAGGCAATGAATTTTCATGCTGTTCGTGAAGATACTAACAGCGTACTGAAAATAACAAATTACCTGTGAACTTATGCATTAAGGGCATGACTAAAACCAGCTTACATGGTATCCTCTACTTCTGCAGCTTCTGATTGCTCAGCTCCATTTGTAATGCCTCTGAAGAAAAGAGCAATTGTTGCCTTTGTGGCCCTAATTTGATATAAATGATCTTTCAGGCTTACTGTTTTGTCAGGTTTGTCCTAGTCTCTTGTTGAGATTGTGGATGTGGTCCTGCCCTAAAAAAGGGGTCTATGGCTGCTTGATATATACTATGCAGTTTAAGATTTGCACATCAGCGTCATTAATTTATCCTTCTAGTTGAAAACCAAAAATTCTAAATTCAAAGAGAAAACAGCAGCACTAAGAGAACGCATCATATTGCTCACATTGCAGCTATATTTGAAAATGACATGGCTGTTGAGTTGTCTTGCCGCTTTGGTGTGCGGAAAGGCCACCTCCACAGACGTCCAGTGTGAGAGAACTGTCATTTCCATGCTCTGATGTAGCATGCAGATGTCTAACTGCGTTGCTGTTGCCTTTGACCTGTCTGGGCAATGATTCCATGACTTCACAGAATGCTAACTTGAAATACTCTCATACAGTGACTTCATCCTGAATATACAATTAACTCTTTATAGTATGCAAGCTTATGCAGATATATATCAGACATTCAGTATAACATTGTGACTTGCTTGTTCAGGGAAGGAGAAGCAGAGCACTTTATAACAATGCTCTTCTTATTGTAATAGTAAATATTCCAGTAATGTGCACTTCTTTTATTGGCCTAAATAAGTCGAAGCATGGGATTTAGATGCAGGCAGATATGTATAGAGATTGTATATAAATGCACACACACACAGTGGTTACTTTTAGATTTTTTATTATTATTTGTATGCCTTCTTACAGTTTTGGGGGGTTTTTTGGATAAAATCACTATAAAAGGTAGATGTTCTTGTAAGAAATCAAATTTCAGTTTTTATGTGCGTACAGCATACATCAGTGTTGCTTATGGTTATAGTCACATTTTGGTGATGCAGTTCTCTATTACTAACATTTCATAATGTCAGAAAAGATAAGCACTTAATTTAAACAAGTGCGCAGGGCTCACTTGCAGAGAAGGGAGTGGAGAAAGTCACAATCATTCTGTTTCTCATGTACAATTTTAAAACTACTTCTTTATGTTGGATGAGAAAAATTTAAAAAACAAAGCGTCAGCAAAGCACAGTAACTAGAAAGGCTGCAAATTTTAACATTATATTTAGGGTTAAAGCTGCAGCAAAATCACTGCTGACAGATATGTAAAGACCTGAATTTTTGCTACTTGCAATACCCTACTGAACCAAAAAGTATGATTCCAGTATTCAATTGCATGTATTAGCACAATTATTTTACTTTATTATGCCATATAAAATCAATTGTAAGAGTCAAGAGCCCATCAAAGTGGGTGAGTATGAGTATCTAGGGAGCCTAGCATCAGACCTTAAGTTCTTTAGTCGTTTCACCATATTCATGAGATCTCTTGATTAATTCCAGCTCTCTGTCACCAGACGAGGCAACTATAGGAGTATCTACAGTATTGCACAAAGGAGGAAAGAGATTGAAAGGTATGGTCTAATCAGATACAGTACCTATTAGTTCTGTCATAAAGGGCTTGTGGAACTCGGCTTCTCATATTTTCGGAAAGCTGTTTTGTTCCTCCATGTTCTGAGTTGTGCATGAAGTTCTTCAAGGAGTCCTTATTGGAAATAATGAATGCACTCTCCTTAGTGCTTATAGAATCTCTCCATTTGATTTAATTTATTGTCTCCCTGTTTCATTCTGTAGAATATCAAGCACTGTTTGACAGCATTAACCATGTGTCACAGCTGCTGTTCCTGTGCCACATAGTGATAGTACTTCAGTTCTTCAGAAGGTCACAGATGAGGTCTCTTTTTAATGTTTTCTCTAAAAGCAAAATGCCTTGGCTGGCCCAAGGTATAAAGATACAGGATAAAATTAGGCAAAAATCAGAAATATTGATTGATTGTTTTATACTTTCCTGTTTCTGCCATGGATGTTAGCACGTGTCAATACATACTTAGGCAAATTCCAGTTGGACTTTAAAAACACATAGGGAAGAAAACCTTTTGTATTTGAGGTTTAAATCTGTGTATTATTAATGATTTTCAACACTGGTGTATGAGAGTATATTAAAGGCAAGTATGTAGATCTGACATTGTGCGTTTTACTGGAAAAGCACAAGAAGTTTTGGACAAGTACTGTGTGTGTTCCTTTGTTTTTGGAGGACATCAACAGTGTCTCAAGGTTTTGCCACTAGCTAGCCATTTGCTTAAGCTGAGAAAACTCTTTGGTAGACTTCGTTTAGTATGCTGTTTGCACTGACTGCACGTTATTTTACTCAAGTATAAGGCACACACTGTCCTCAGGAATAATGTATTTTATGAATGATCTTTTCATATTCTAAATATTGTCTTTCCAAACAAATGACCAGTATGAATAGACTACGCATGCAAGCTGCATTTGTGAAATCTGACAAAGCTTTAGAACCTCAATTTGTGCAAAAATGCTTTAGATCATTGCAGATCTAATCTGTGATAACTTTGCTCTATGCATGCGCCCTTAGAGAGACTGCATGAGCAACTAGATATTTTTAAATACGAAGGAGTAGTCCAAAATGTCTTAATTATTCCTAAGAAAATTCCATGTCTTCATCCAGACAAAAGAAGTTTCCATTTCGGAAACAGCAAAAAGTCCACATACATTATACACATCTCATTTCTTATGACTTTTTATTCTAAATTTGTGCCTAATGTGTGAGATCTGAATTCTGGTGACTGAAGGAGGAAGAAAAGAATTCCGGTTCATCGGCCGTGCTACTTACAGGTTGCTTCTTGGAGCTCAAAGTCCGTCTCCATATGGACGGATGCAGCAAGAGCTCAGTATTCACAGCAGAGCACTAGCAGGGTTGCCTGACGATTGAGCCCAGGGTCTCTAGTTGTTACGCTGTAGTTCAGTTTCCTTACCAGAAGCGCAGCACAGTGAGCGAGCATCCTGACAGAGTACTGACATTTGGAAATAAGGCAGACCGCGTGATGGCTATTTTTTTGGTTTTCTTTCCTAGCTCTTTTTGTTAAAGGATTTATAGAGAAAATTTAGGTGAACATTAGGGTTAATACTGGTGATGACAAGGCTAAGATTTCCATAGCGGTGATGGACAATAAGTGGGTTCCTGTTAGATGTTTCTTTGGAAGTACGTATCTTCATTACTACAAAACACACATCAGCTGTTGCTATGCCCTTTTCTGACACCAAGCTGTCTTAAATTGTGTTCTGAGGATTAGTTAGGCTCAATTGTGTCCTGTTGAAAGCTCAAAAGAAAAATATCTGGAGGGCCTAGTGAGAATAAGTTAGTAGGTACATAACTTAATGCATACATTCATAAATCTCCTGAGGTTTCCTTCATGAAAAGTTCTGCACAAGGAAAAATATCTTGGGAAACACAGCTTTAGGGTGAGTGTTAATATGGGGGAAGGCAAGAACTTTGGTGGTACTTTATTCTTAATGTGCCATTAAGATGATCAGTCTAACAGAAGTAGTGCAGATCTGCTGTTCCCTTGGTGCAGCTTCTTCCACTGCAGCCTCCAAGTCGGAGAGCTGCCAGAGGGAATTTCTGATGCTGTGGGATCCAGTGGCGTTACCTGCAAAGTGCTACGTGGCATCTTGGGATTTATTAATCTTTTGCATTATATCACAGTTCATTCAGGGGCAAATTAGTGCATACATGTTTAAAAACATCATGTCATTTTGATTAACTGAAAATGATCCTTGTCCATGAAATGAAAAGAAAGGCTTCTTACATAATGAACTTACAAGTGCCACAAGTTTTAGTGAAAACTATTATAAATAGATTTTTTACGTACGCTGGGGAATGGTCCTATCCATAAAACTCATTTTATACGAACAGCTAAATATGAAAGCAATAAAGTTAATGGAAAAATCAATCAATCACATTTTGTATTAAGTGCTACATAGGAGAAAAGGGACAGAGATAAAAGCAGTGGTATCAGCAGTCACTTCCAATGCAGTAGTACTTCCAGAAGCATTTTATTTTATGTAATCCTCATAAACTGCTAATGTTTCTTATTTGGGGATAAAGGTTGGAACAAGTATACAGCCAGCCTTTCATAATAATGTTTGTGTGGTTTTGAGGCTGACACTAGAATTCAAACAGAATTCCACGTTTAGACAGACTTGTTATTTTGTTAGTTCCAATGCATACTTTCTCTGGCTAAAGTGCACGCAGTGACACTTTTTGAAAGTGTTAAAGTGACTTGCAAACCTAAATTCCTGCGACGGAAAATTTAGCAGCTTTAAAGGATCCCCAAGTCTTTTCATACCCAACCTTATTCTCGTGACCCCCCATGTTCTGCTGGGGTAAAACGCAACAAGCCAGCGTTTTGAGGCTGGGGATGAGCAGAGGCGGCAGACGGCTCCTCTTCGCTTCAGCAAGTTTTGCTCCAGAATCCCGATCGGTTCTGCAAAACGAGGGGTTGAAGCTGGAGCAGGGTGACAGCCCTCCTGCTCGTTTTCCTTTTCTCTTCTGGCTCGTTCTTTACTTATCCTCAGTGTTTTATTAAATGATGCCTTCTTGCTGACAGCCTGATTTCCAGGGCAATTCTGTAG